GCAAGAGTATGCAGCCTTGAGGAGGTTGTTAAGAAATTTGTCTTGGACGTAGAGCTTGTGTACGCAAAGTCGTGTGTGAATGTTACGGCGGCTTCTGAAGACATTGTTTGCGTCCAGAAGCAAGCGGGTATCGAAGAACTTCAAAGGGCCCTTAACAGTTTGTTGGTCTTGTTAAGAAAGCATCTCGGGACATTAGAAAAGCTTCCCCACAACATCTTTCAAATCTTGTTGAACGAGGGAGGACCTGAACTTTCATCTGAAGCTTCACACCTTTTAGAGACTAAATATTCTGAAATGGTGTATATGGAATACTTGCAAAAGGAGGATCTGCAAGGGCGTGTTCAATCAAAATTTGAGTGTTCAAAAGCCGTAATTTGTTTTGATGTTTCACCACAGTTAGACTACATGGTATGCGATTGCTATGATAACACGATACAGCTGTGGTCGATCCGTACTGGCAAGCAGTTATGGAAACGAGATGTCCAGGTAAAGAAAGATTACTACTTCGAGTATGATGACGATGACTTTTTTCCTATCTACGAACCATATAAGGGAACCAAAAATCACTGCGTCAGCGACGAGTATGACGACGATGATCTGCCATGTCCTCCCAAGTCAATTTACCGCTCAGTAGTGTTTCATCCTACAGAGGACCTTGTCTTACCAGGAATCCTCAGCCATGCCTATACGTTTGACGGGGACCTAAAACCACTTTTCCTTTCTAGCAAGTGCTGTTTCTGGGTTTGTTCAATTTCTGCAGAAAAGACCAAGATGCTAACTGATTGCCCCAATGATGCTAAATCAATTATCATGTGGAGTCTGAAAGATGGCTCAGAGATGAATCGTTTTTCATGGAGTGACGATATTGTGTCATTTGCTTGGTCTCGCGCTGGAAGACTGCTAGCAATTTCTGACCTGTCTGGTTCGTTAACTTTGGTTGACGTAATGAATGATTATAGAACTCTAGCACAGACAGCTATTTCAGAAGTATGCGGAATGATAAAGTTCTCCCCTGACTGTCGTTGTCTGTATTCTTTGGTTTTCAACAGTGCTAGGTGCCATCTCTTTCTTTTAGACGTCAACATGGAAAATGACGGCGACTTTTCTTTAGATGTTTTGCCTAATGAAGTGTCTTATCACCCCTGGGAATTTGAATCGTGTAGTGAGACCGGATTTTTATTAGGAGATCCTTTTTGGTTACCATCTGAAGGAGATGCCATCCTCTCACGGAAACCTGGACTTGCTTTTTTGCTCAGTGAAAACTCTGTATTGACCGGTGCTTGTGGTGATTGCACCATAGAGATGCTACAGCGTGATAAACTGACGCAAGACAGTGCCAGCGTTTCAATAACTACTGCGCGGAAAGTCGTATTATCACTGAATGGTGACACGCTGTTTGTTATCACTACAACAGATGGCAGTCCAGCAACACTTATGGCTTGGGACATTTCGAGTGGTATGTTCAAACCTGAGATAAAAGTTTTTGAAGACACTGGTTGCTTGAATGAATATAATCTTGTAGCTGTAAGAGAAGGTGTTCTGGTGCAAACCAGTCACAACGTCCTTGAGCTGTGGAATTTTGAGTTGTCTGAGTGCATCCGAAGTTGGACTGACTTA